GCTGACCACTGAGTTATCCTGAGGCTCCCTCTCTCAAGAGGCTCCGTGATGACAGCACTGTTCCCTGTGCCTCGTTAGGCGACAGGGCCTGGAGGTTGTCTCTTTCCAGGTACACGGCTGAACCCAGAATCTGCCAAGGAAAAGAAGCTGAAGGATGGAAAGGCTGAAGGATGGAAAAGCAAACTCTAGGATTGGAGACATAAGCCCTCCATCGCCTGCCTTCCTGCAACACAGACACAGACGCTCACAGACACACTCTGTCCCTCCTGGTTCAGCCCTGCTCTGAGACTTACTTGCTCAGGGCCCCGGTGGGGAGTGGGGAGACAGCAAGCCCCTGTGGGTGCTACCCCCACATACACTGAGTTGAACGTTGCCCCACTAGGTGCAAACACTCCGAGGCGCATAGCAGAGCTGATTTCTGCCTCACTGCCAGCACCTGGGGCTTGACCCCCATTTCTGGTGGATCTGGAGGCAGGCAGCCAGTCACTGACCTCCACTCTCACCTCAGTGCTTCAGTGTGCTGCTGGCAGCAAACCATGGGTCCCAAGGCATGAGAAAGGTGAATCCCATACCCCGTGTGGGAGGCACCGGGGCTGGGGGGCAGCCTGGGACAGCAGAAAAGGCCTTGGGGCAAACCTTGGGTGTCCACTGGCTCTGCCAGCTCCTGGCCACGAGCTTAGGCAAGTCTCTTTCTGTCTCTGGCTAAGGAGCGGTGAGGACCCAGGGGGTAAGGGCCTACAGATAACTATTTGGTTCCTTCCCAAAGAAGCTCGGTCACTGTGCTGGAGATGTAAATGTAATTATAGCCACGTTTTGTGACCTTTACATAATGTGGTGAGTCGTCTCCTACGACCTAAAGTACTTCCTCATTACCCTCACACCGCACCCAGACAAAGATGGGGCTGCAAGGGGGCCGGGGTGGCCGCGTGACTGTCCCTGCGGTCCCAGAGCCCCAGTCCTGTAGTCAGGGCCCGACTGCCCTGAACTAAGTCTGCATTTATTAGATGGAAGCATTGCAATTTGCGGTCCCTCATTTTCAGAAATTGGTTCTAGAACTTCTTAATTTCTAATCTGTCCCATAAATCATAATCTTCATCTGGCTTCAGACACAACAGTTTTCAGAGCCCATATTCAGAACCCTAAAAATATCCTTTTTTTTTTTTTTTTTTTTTTTTAATCAGGGTGGCATCTGTCCTGGTCATCAGCCTTAGACGTAGCCAGCCCTATCTATCTGCGTTCTCATGCAGCCTTCCCTAAAAAAGAAGAGCTGGTGTGAATAATTAAAACCCCATTCCTGCTCCCTTTGCAGGTTTCTGATCATCACTGAAGCACCAGCCAGGGTTTGCACATCCTTCTCGAGAAAGTGACTGGGAGGGGTTGCAGATTGCCCAGAGGATGGGCCTGGCAGGACAGAGGCGCCTGAGTGAACCCGACATCTTTCTGGGGTTATTTATTTATTTATTTATTTATTTATTTTTACAATGTAGAAAGAATTCATTTGCCTCATTAAAAAAACCTCAATAGTACATTTAAGTATAAATTCAATCTTCTCATGGAGGAGTTGCAAAGTTTAAATAGAAACATTCGATTGCTTCAGGTTTACATTTTTAAAACTCTTAATTTTACCGAGGGAACATATAAAAAAGCCAGACTTAAGATATTTTAAGGCATAAGCATTATCATTAATAGCTCTACTGTTCTGCTCCCAGTGCCGGCTCTGCAGGAGAGGACAGTTCCAACTTAAAGCACAAAGTGAAAGTTACAAACTAAATCCAGCATCAACTACTGACAGAGCTGAAGTACTGGAGGGTGGACAAGTTGTGAGTCATTCTCTTACACAACTTCACTCCCAGAGTAAAAGAGCAAACCCAAAGGCTTTCCCCGATTTAAAAACATTCCGTCCACCCCTCCTGTGATCCTCCCCTGATCCAGGACACAGTGGCACTGATGGTCCCAGTGTGGTGGGCTCCCAGGCTGTCCCTGTACCCAGAAAACAAAGGGGATCCCCAGCCACTGTTCTCTGAGCGCTGAGCATCACCAGCACTGCCTTGGGAACTTCTGCTGCTAGGCCTCTCACTCCCCCTGGTCCAAGTTGGATGCACCTCAACATATGCCTCATCTTTCATCTTTCCCTTTTCTCTTGGGGGACCACTTTTTAAAAAAAATCCTCACCCAAAGATATGATATACTTATTGATTTGAGAGAGAGAGAGAGAGAGAGAGAGAGAGAGAGAGAGAGAGAGAGATGTGAGAGAGAACATTGATTGGTTGCCTTCCGTATGTGCCCCCAGTGAGGATCAAACCTGAAACCTAGGCATGTACCCTGACCAGGAATCAAACTTACAACCTTACGGTGCATGGGGTGATGGCCACTTTGGATAGATCTCACAGAGCTAGACTCATGGCACTTCTCCTCTGGAGTTCCCTCCAGCCTTTAGTTGATTGAAGATTTTAAAAGAAAGTCAAGACACACATTGAAGAAAAATGCAACGAGACCAGGAAGGACCCCCGGGAAGCACAGAGTACCTTTAAAGCTGCCCTAACCATACCACTTGCCTCTGCATGGAGCCTGGGTTTTGGAAGGCCTGCCTGTGCTAACCCAAGGAAGGTCTTCCGACCACCTTCCTGCTTTAAACAATAAAGTGATCGATAATCCAGGGGCTGGTGGGTCAGGCCATGGATTCTTCAGGGTCTCCTGCTTCACCCGTGTCCTGATGTTGCGCCGGTTCTGTCTTTGGGCCTCTAAGAGGGGGGAAAGGGAAGAGGACTCTGGGCTTGGAGTTTCCTATGTGTTAGCAATGTCCCCTCCCTGCTGGCCTGGGGCTGTGTGCCTGTGTGTGCACTCATGTGTGCCTTCACGGCTTTTCCTGACCTCACTCGCGAGCTGGTGCCTCTCTGAGATGTTTGCTAGTGGTGTTGGGCCAGGGAATCTTCAGCTCTGTGTGAGATGGAAGTGGATGCAGGCAGTGGTGAAGTGGCTCTGAGAATAAGGAGGGTACCCCCCGTCCAGCAGCCCCTGCCAAGGCCTTAGTTGCTGACCTTGAGGCTGCGAGGTGCGCACCAGTCTGTAGGCAAGCCCGAGGCCCTGGCCTTCCTTACGTCTCATGCTTCCCTGCGCAGCCCTGGGCACAAGCGTGGGCCCCAACACAGGCTCAGACCGCGTGCCTGTCAGGCCATGACTGGAGACTCCTGTTTTCATACTGGCTCAGCCTAGATGGTGGACAGGCCCTGCAAACAGGTCATATAAAAAGGGAGTGAAGAAGGGGAGGCCGTGATCATGGCACAGAGAGCAGAGCGCTGTCAGTGACGGAGCCTCAGGCTTGCCAGGGGAGGGGCTCTTGCACGAGTGTGTGGGCACGGAGAGGACAGGTAGAGAGGGCACAACCTTCAGGGGTTCTTCCCGTTAACTCCTTCCAGGCTCAGTCTGACTCCTCGTGGAGGCTTGGATTGGTCCTGGCTCTGTCCTTCCTGGCTGATGTTCAGTAGCCTCCCCTGCCCACACTGGCCTTGGCCTTAAGAGGAGATTAAGCGGGGAGAGGGGGGCTGTCCTGGCAGCAGGTGCACAGGAGTTAGAGGATTGGCGGATCCTGAACTGGCCTCTGGCTTCTGCTCCCTGCAGTCCGCCCTGGCCTCTCTCTGGACATCCTGAGCCAGGCGAGGAGAGCAGCTTCCCCAGAGAAAGCCTGTCAGGGAGCCTGGCTGCCCACACCGCCACCTGGGAAATGCTCTTGCCCACACAATCTAACCTGAGTCCGATCAGGCTTCTGGACTCAAGTCCAGGAGGATGCATTAAATAGGGTCAGGAAAAGCCAGACTGGGAGAAACCACAGCACACGTGACCTGGTTCCTTCAACAAGTAAACCACAAGGGAGAAAGAGATTGATTGATGGGGACCTAGGAGACAGGTGGACCAATTTTAATACATGGGCTAATTTAGATTCTAATTCAAACAAAAAAAAATTTTTTTTTAAGAACAGTTCATGGGTCAATTGGGGAAATTTGAAACTGATTATTTCTGATATTAAGAAAGAACTGTTAATTTATTTTTTTGTTCTTTTAAAGAATAGTTTGCTGATTTTTAGAGAGAGAGGAAGGAAGAGGGAGAGAGAGAAACATTGCTGTGAGAGTGCAACACTGATTGGCAGCCTCCGGCATGCACCTACGGGGATGAAGGGGAACGGGATCAGGCAGGCACTTTGATCTGGAATCAAACTGGCTGCCGATTGTTCCATAGACTACGCCCAACCAGCTGAGCCACACCGGCAGGGCACTGTTAATTGTTTTAGGTGTGATCCTAGTATTGTCATTATGTTTTCTAAGAAAAGGCCGTAAGTTCTCTAAGTACACCCTGAAATATTTACAGATGACCAGATGCCTGGGGTGTCAGGGTAGGGGGGTGCCAGGTACGGGTGAAACAGGACTGGCTCTGAGTGTTGCTGAATCTGAGTGGTGGGACATGGAGTTTCACTATGACATTCTTTTTAGTTTTACATAGCTTTGAAAATCACCATGATCCAATCTGGAAGGAGAGGAGGGAGAGACAAAGAGGAGGCAGAGGAGGACGGGGAGCAGGAGGAGGAGAAGAGTGGGGAGGAGGAGGAAGAGGAGAGAAGGATGGGGAGGAGGAGGAAGAGAAGGATGGGGAAGAGGAGAAGGATGGTGAGGAGGAGGAGAAGGATGGGGAGGAGGAGGAGAAGGGTGGGGAGAAGGAGGAGAAGGGTGGGGAGGAGGGAGGAGAAGGGGAGGAGAAGGGGAAGGGGAGATGAGATGGAGGAGGAGGAACAGTAGCTGTGCGGGATGGAGGCTGCCCTTCTTCCGAAGGCCTCAGAGACAAGGCAAACAGCCACCCCAAGGGCAGCGCAGCCTCCAGCTTCCTGAGGCCTCTGGTTCCAGTCTGGGCCATTCTCCTTGGCAGGGTTCTTCCTGAGGCCCCCCACAGGTTTCCCTCCTCCCAGCCACAGCGATGGGGGGTGGGGGTGGGGGGTGGTAAGCCACACTCACCGTGGAGAGGCAGCCTCTGTCCTCCCGGATGATGGCACCGAAGCCCAGGAAGCCGGTCACCATGACGAGGGCGCCCGCGAAGATGAGGATGTAGGCGGAGGCGGCGAAGGTGCTGGAGGCCAGGACGCTGAGGTAGCCGCTCTTCTCCACCAGCGTCCAGACACCCACGGCCAGGACGGTGGCGCCCCCCACCTGCAGGAGGCCCCAGTCAGAGCGGGTGGCCGGCTGCTGGGCGCCTCTGCTGCCCTTCAGCGGGCCACGCTTCACCTCATTTAGTCCTTCAAAGAGCCTGGGAGGGCAGTTGGAGCCCAGTTTATAGGTGAAGAAATGGAGGCGTGGAGAGGCTGGGGACCTGGCCAAGGTCACACACCTGAGTGCAGGGGCGAATTTTGAGTCGGGTGTGACTCCACACTCCGTGCTTCTCACCGCATTGCCCGTGAGTCTGTCCCCTGAGGGAGGGAGACAACCTCTGTGTCTGAGCCCCTTGCCTCCCCAGGCCCAGCCATCCTGTGCCCCTCTTACCCCCAGGGCTCCTGCGCTCTAGTCCACATTCATCCCTATAATTTGCCCCCGGAGGGAGCATGGGGAGTGGGTTGGGGGAGGGGGGCTTTCCACCTCTGCACTTCAGGGGAGAAAGGAGGCTCCCAGGGGAAAGTGAACTGCTGGAGGGCCTGCCTCTGGTGAGGAGGGGCAATTGGAGAGAGGCTGGGACAGGACTCAGGATGCAGCCTCTGGGATTAAAGGGACAGGCTCCCCACAGCTGGAGTCTCTCTAGGACTCGGAGAACTGAGCAGGAGATGTTCCTTCTTGCTAACTGTCTGACTCCCTTTCAGCCCTGAGAAGGGGGCAGGGACAGGACACCACTGCCTGGCCAGTTAGGGGTGCCTCCTCAGGAAGGGTCCCTGGAACAGAGCTGGGTGCCTCCTTTAGGGATCAGGTCTCTCCCTCAGATGGATGAAGACTGCACGGCGTTCGCATCAGCCCTGGGACTCTGCATGACCCCCTGCCTGTCAGCTACAGGAACAGCTCTGTTCTCAGGAGGCACAGGCATCAGCTGAGCCAACGGAAGGGCGCCCTTAGCCATGAGTGTGCAGAGGCGCCTACATCACTCAGCTCACCACATGATCTGAGCCCTGCAATGGGTCTGTGAGGATGGGGCGGTGTGTGTGTGTGTGTGTGTGTGTGTGTGTGTGTGTGTGTGAAGGGGGACACGTTTTTTGTTTTGCAGAGGAAGAGCCTAAGGCTTGGAGAGAATAAGAACATGCTCCAGACGGCAACATCGGGAAGATGCAGAACTGAGATTCAAAGCCTGGTCTTCTGAGGGCGGACCCAGGACTTTGTCCGTGGTCCCACGGATTGGGCTGTGCCTGCTCTGCTACTAATTTGATTTTTTAAATAATCGGTGTTTTACAAAGCGCCATTTCACCCCCCTTAGCACCTCCTGCAGGTAAGAAAACCAGGCGGGAGAGCCCACAGCTGGGCGGCTCTGAATGGAGCGGGAGAGGCTCACATGATGAGACTCTTCAGTTCCGTTTTTCTCACGCTTTTACATAATCTAAAACAGACACGCATCTTGGGACTAATGGCATCTTACAGTTACACCTGGCAGTACTTTTTCTTAGTGGCACAGAAAGCAGTGTTGTATCTCTCAGCTTTGATGAAATCCTGGGCTACCACAGATCTGTAAATTCTCTGTGAGTGTATGCTGTCACTGGCCCACACAACCCCATGACCAGTGAGGAGTTTCCCCAGTCCGCTCTATGGAATTGTGTTAAGAGAGAGTTTCCAGCAAAATGTCCTGCACATGTTCTTTCTGCTCCCACAGCATCCCAAGGGAAAGGGCCCTCACTTTGCATAACGAGCTGCGTGACCTAAACATCGTCCCATAACTTCTCGGGGCCTAAGCTTCTTCATCTCTCAAATAAGGGTATGATATTAGACCAGTAAATTCCCAACCTATAATCACCAAGGATCCCTTTGATTACTTTATTCCATGGATCTTACATTTTGAAGGTTTTTGCCTACCAAACCCAGTGCATTAAGTAATAATTCATCTCTCATTTTTTTTATTAATCAAAGGCACATGATAGTGCCAAGAAGAGGTTCTGAGCAGCGTGGAACAGTCCACGTGACTGCACCGAGTTGATCTACATTGTAATTGCTGTAGGCTCTTTATAGAAGTCTGCACACTCTCCGTTACCCATCAGGCTTGTCAGCCCGCAGCTGAACATTGGGCCTGGTACCTCCTTCGGGGGCACATTGGACTAGACTGGGGGCACTTAATCGGTTGGGAGACATGGAGCCCACTGAGAACATGATAAAAACCTTTGGATACTTTGCCCAGAGAAATGGCCATTCATTTAAAATAATGCATTCAGATTTGGGGGCTGGAGCCAGTCTGTACCATGCAGTGAGGCCTCCTGCACCTCTAAGGCAGTGATTCTCGGCCTGGCAGCGCAGTCACCTGGGAGCTCTGCAAAAGCCAGCCACACCCCAGCCAGGTGAGGTCTCTGGGAGCGGGACATGAATGTTTTATTCAGTTTCCAGGTGGTCCCAGGGGAGAACCACTCCCTGTGTAGATGTCAGATTAAATGGAGGGTCACAGTGCCCTTCCACTCTCCCCCAGTAGGTGGTGCTGTGCTGAATCTCACAGACCACAGGCTTCCAGGAAGCGCTGGGCCCCTTAGCCTGGGGGCAGGTGTTGGGAGAGTTCTGAATTTCATCCAGGATGTGATAGGGCGTTTGCTTTGGTAGGAGCTCTGGTTAGAAGGTGAGGTAACAAGGAGCAGAATTTTCAGTCCAAAGGGATGAAAACCAAATCATGCAAGAAAGGAAAAAAAAAAATCCATGGATCCCCAGGAAGGAGTGGGACTCTGAGAAATGCAGCCCCAGGAGAAGAGCAGTGCTGATGGCACCACAGAGGGCTGCTCTCTCCCAGGCTTGCCAGTCACAGAGAGGCTGCAGTCTGCAAACGGGCAGAGCCTGCAGGTCAGCCAGGGTGGCTGCAGGGTCAGAGTGAGTCATGGGGGAATCCCTCCCCTCTGCTGGGGTGTCACAGGGGACACCAAATGGTATTTGCCAGCAGGAGCAAGAGGAGTCCAAGTGCAGGGGTTTCCTGCCTGGGACAGTCAAGTCTTTAGAAAAAAGCCTTTCCTCTGGACAGGAAAAGTAAAAGTTAGTAACTGTTGGAATGGGTCACAGAAGGTCTTGGGAGGGTAGAAGTCAGCATGCCTGTTTGCCGCCATGGCTGTGCCCATTATTACCCACGCGACTGTATGCCAGTCTCTTCTCCTCTCTAAACCTCAGTTTCTTAATCTGTAAAATGGTGGTGCTCGATGAGATGACTGCGAGGTCCCTGCCATGGGCATAAATGTCCCTATTACTTATGGGGGAACAACTTTCTGCCAATACACCCCCAGCAAGATGCTTCTGAACCAGGGGCTCACCGCTTTCACCCACTGTGCGGAGAGGTCCTCGTTAGCAGAACGAGCAGTGGGGTCGGGGAGGGGCGGGGAGTGGGGCTGAGATGAGGACAGAGTGAGTGGGGAGAGATCTGACCCCAAAGAGCTATTTCAACAGCTATTTACATAGAGTTGATTCAACAGTATCAGACTCTACAGAAACTGGGTTGATTTTCTGTGGAATATTAACTATATTTTTCAAAACCAGAGCCCACAGCCAATTAGCTAGGACACCCTGCAGAGGGTGAGGCTGACCTTCTTACCAAAGAGGACACAGGCAGGCCAGGGAGGCAGGGCAGGTCACCCATGCCATGTAATTTTAAGAACCTCCATTTATAGAAAAGGAACAGTGCCAAAAAGTTGCTCATGTGATATGGGAGAAGGATGAGCCAAGGTGCTGATGGACATCAGGCAGCAGCCAGGAAAAAAGCAGGCGGAGAGAGTAGAGTAACTGCAGGACTTTTCTTTGTCAGGATCCTGAAAGGTTTCTGTGCTGGGACTGGGAAAGGACTGGTGGGCGGTGCAGGGGTCAGGAGCCCCTGGGAGGAGAGTTCTCTGCCTCTCTGTGAGGGGAGGCAGAGGGGGGCCGCACAGCTCACTCATGGAAGTGTCTGCTGGGCAGCTTCTTGGTGCAAGCACCACACCGGACTGGCAAGGGTTCTGGGCAGGATGTGCTCACCATTGACAAGCACACTTGTCATCTCGCTCCTCCTCCCCTGGGCAGTCACATTCACAGTATCACCGCCCAGACCAGAGCCCCTGGGTCCCTATGGACTTCCTCCTCTGCAGGGAGGTTGGGTGCTAACCACACCCCCCACTGAGCCCCGCCATGTCCTGCACTGCCCGGCTTTGCACGCGCTCATCCCTACCCCCACCTTACATCTGCCTCCTGGCCTCTGCTCAACCCAGGGCCAGCTTGTTGTGCTGAACCAGCAGGCATTCTGGTGACAAAGTGCCTGAGGTCCCAGACCAGGAGCACTAAGCCCAACGCCCAGGATGGCCTTGAGGCCCTTAGATCCAGCCTTAGCCTGACTTTTGGCTTCGTCTTCTGCTACTTCCCGTCCTCCTCACCTGGGCTTTAGTTACCATGAACTGAGTATTTCTTTCCCGGAAGCACTGCAGGTGCCCACTAACCATGATAGTAGAGGAGAGTGGTGAAGAGGCCAACAACCAGTGCCTGAGTCCCAGCTCCCCTATGGGCTGTGTGAATCTAGCCCTGAGGTGTATGTCGAGCCCTCTGCTGGCAGGGCAGGGGTGAGGGTGGGGGACACACTCCAACCACCCCAACTTCCTTCCCTGGGACCATGGGTGCTGTGTTAGGGACGGCTCTCCACCTTATTAATGAGCAACACCTGCTGGCACCTGGTGAGCGTTTCTCCCAGCTGCCCCTGTGTTCCCGTGGCCTTGGCACCAGCTCTGTTTGCGCTGAATCTTCAGGCAAGCTTTCTCACAGGCATTCTTTTCTTGGTTCTTTGACTTTAAAGAGCCCCTGATAAAATAAATGAGTACTACGTTCCCCTCTCCCACAACCGCCTACTTTTATAATAAGAGCAGATCTCTTGGGACTTGCTGAGCTGGGAAATAGTTCAAGATTGCCTGTTCCTCTTTCAAACCCCGTTCTGAACCTGCCTTGTGCCGTTGCTGGCCCCACTCCCAGTGAGGAAATCATTCTGTCCTCCCTACCAGCTCCGTGCCTGGGGCAGGTTTCTATGGTTACACTCATCACGGCAT